GAGAGAGAGAGAGAGAGACACATGCACGCACATGTTGGACTGTAACAGTTGGCAGCGATTTTAATGAGATTTGAAACACGGAGGTACAGAATCGCTCGCAAGCACACACACAAACACACTCTTGTGTACAATATGTATGCACTCTCACACATTCCTGTATGTTTCTGCTTAGGTTCAACATTACTTGGGGAGGGGGTTGGTTGGCTGGGGGGATGTAATATGAGGATGGATTGGATGGGAATTTTAGTGGGGAGGGAAATAAGATCCAGTTCTTGCTGTATCTAAAGCAAGTCTTTAAGAGCTGTTTTGGTGTATCCTGTCGAGACGGCTGCTGCTTCGATTCAGCGCTGCGGGCTCTTTGTTTCCATCTTGGGCCGGCAGCTTCTCCTGCCTCTTAATTACTTTAACACAACACACACACACACACCACACACACACACACACAAACACACACGTACGGCACTCACACACTGTTGAGGTGTCACTCACTTGTGTAAGTGTCAAGAGGCAAGGCTACAGTGGTGTATTGGATTTCTTTCACACGTTCACACACTTATTCTCGTGTCCAGTGGTAGTGTATGGATTTCTTTAAATGTGGTCACACACACACACACACACAGACACACACACACAGTGTTGCTTAAGCATCTGGCAGCGGGGTTACCATGATGACTATGTATGGATTTCTCTGACTGTGGTTCAGTAATTGTGGTCAAGTGTTTGGGCCATGTTTGTTATTGCATCTGAGGTGGGAGGCTGTGTTTGGTCATACGGAGTAAGTTCAGTTCTGTAGGTGGTCATGGTGGTGATGCGGGGGTCTGCGCTCACACACACACAGACTCATACACACACTGTTATGTTCATTTCACAAGTGGCTCTGCGTGGGAATGGATGTGCTGAGCTGTGGCCTGTCTGCAGGCTATACTGTACACAGATTCAGCAGCATGCAGGCAGGTACTGTAGGAGCTTGCTGCCTGATTGTACTGGAAGGCTTCACAAAGCAGTACGTTAAAGATGCTTCGTGGGTGTATGACTGTTTGTAATCAGACTGTGATATAATGAGCACACAGCAAACAAACAGCAAATACACATGAGGATCAATTATAACTTCAATTTGTTTTTTTGTATTTAAAGAGTAACTTAAAACCCTGCTTTAGCTTAAACGCGCCCCCTTCACAAATTCAATGTGTAATAAAGTGACTGTACATGTAATTTACTAACTCTAAAAAGTGGATTTAGTTACTCTTTAACTTTTAATTTGGTCCATTTTATATCCAATCCCCGAGAGATGGCTGCAAACATTTATGAGCATTAATTTCAGTATCTAGATTTGCATAAGGGAAGTGATTTTTAGTAGCTCATGTAGTTGCTCATGAATGTACCATTCTGGGAAGTGTTTGGATCCGTTTAAAGCTCCATATGCACACAGACTTCTGTGAAAATGACACATAATCACTACACATCTGTATATAGCAGTGTTCTGCGACCTGACCCAAACCCTGACAAAGTATGAGGGGTTGTTTTGTGGGTTTAGGTTTAATTCAAATATAATTTATCAAGAAAATTCTTTCTTTTTCTCTCTGACTCTGCGTCCATGCATCTGTGTGATGTATGTAGATTCAAAATGTCCATTTAGGAAGACGGAAACAGACAGAAAACGTGTCTATAGAGAGCAGTAAATTTCGACTTTTGACTTCACTTCAGAGTCATCAGCACATAGCACGACTGTAATTTTTGAATCTATGAAATGCCACTCATTGTATTGTGGTATTGTAAGGAGGAGGTAACATACATACTATAGATACTTGGAAAGAGTTTCATGTTTTTTGAGGAAGCAATTTAAAATGGAGAGTAAATGTAGTGCACTATTAAGTAAATAACGGAAGATAATGGTCTGTAATGGATGAAATGCAGAAGAAATATAGCTTCGGGTACGGGTCAGGTTAGGATCTGTATCTTAGATCTGTGCAGAACTGTAGTACATGGACATGCACCAAGGAGAATAAATAACAAGTAAATATATGAGCTCACATACACTGTCAACACAACACATGACAGATTTATTCAATAGCTCTGTTTTGGTACAAGAAACTTCATCTGGT